AGTTAAACACGCTGCCTTGGCAATTTGTGTGTTGAAAGCCCTAAAAAGAAAAGGCAACGACGTATTTGGACAGAGACATGGCTGAGCAAATGCGGCTACTACAGTCTGTCAATTTTACAGAAATAATTCCTTTTCGCTCGCACTCCCGCCATGCTTCTGTGTTTTCGTCTGAGTGATTTGCCCACGACCACCTTACGACGACCGACTGAATTTCAAACATGTTCGATTTTCTCCCGACCGTACGATTCCTGGTAGGGAATTGGTCGTGAGAAGTTTATTGCCCCTCGTTACCCGCTGTACACTACACAACGCACAATCAGGCTGAAAGTCGGCCCCATCGAAACATTTTTGCATGGCTGAAGAATCGGCTTGAAAAGTGTAAAAAATCAGACAGTATATACCTGGCTTTAGCAAATGGGTGAGCAGCCTTATATATAAACTAATATTAATTATTTGCTTACAAAAATATGAATATAACTGGAGGTAATAATACACCAATAATAATACATGTGTAAATACATTCATCGATTTCAGGCAGTAAAAAAGGAAGGTTACACGATACCCCTTTTAGACTATATTATGTTGGTCAGTGGAGCTTTGCAGACCAAATCACTATTGTCACGTGTGTCTCATAATAATTGTAAGACATTAATTTCATTTGGATATAGAATATTTATCATAATTTAAATGCAACCTGTGTTGTAATGTGGGACTACCATGCTTAGGTGATATTAGCAGTATGACTTCCCCTCTGGTTACTTGTGTAACTTGGTAACACTACAGATATTTATTCTTAAATAATATGTTGTTGGATTAATGCACCAAAACTGCGCTGTCAACCCATCTCTGTCCTCCTGTCCTAAAATACCAAAATGCATTGCAACTGTCATGTTGGCTGACCTAATTTTTCAACCCTCTATAGCAGAGGTCACCAACCTTTTAAAGACTGAGGGCTACTTCATGGGTACTGAGTCATAGGACAGGCTACCAATATAAACCTATGAACTGGAGGAGTCAGCATTCACCTAAACTTCATAAATAGACATATTTCTTCTGTTTCTTTTCATTGCTAATTTGTTTTTAGATATTGTCTTTTTGAAATCCCTATTAATTTTATAAGCAGCATAAAATAAAATTTCGAACTTAGTCCACTGGTGAGTAGTTCTGTTGTCAGAAGACGCTGAGGGCACCCCATGTGGTCCTTGAGGGCCCCACTTTAGTGACGCCTGCCCTATAGAGTGTAATGCATAACGTTCAAATATTGGAATATGACAGCAATGGGTAAAAATAAGAAGTTTGGAGCTGTTTGCAGGTCTATGTAATAAATCGTTTTGATTTATCATTGGTAAGTTGGGTTTGCCCAGGTCTCTCCTGTAAAAGAGGCTTGTAATCTCAATTTGACATACCAGTTTAAATAAAGGTCACAATTAAAGGCCTATCTCAAAGAATTTTTGAAATAGTTGTAAAATTGAGCTTTCAATTCATGTAGTGGCATCTGGCTTGGTTTTTTTAAAGGTTACTTTAGACTTTTATACTTTTTTGGAGCACATACTTTTTCACTTTTGAGTAAAGAGGTCAAAATGATACTTCAACTTTTACCGGAGTGTTTTTAAACTGCAGTATCTATACTTCTGTGTGTACTTTTGACACCACTGGGTCACATACCTGCATTGTATCACCAATTACGATTTCTTCCATGAGTGCACAGATAATTGTAATGTTGTCTTCTACCTGAAAACATCCTCAGCTCAATACAGTGTTAAAACGGGGATAAGCAAATAAAAGAGTAAAGACTGAGAAGTAAAGCAGAAAGTGTAAGGAGTATAAAACCACAAATGCAGCACATAGAAAGCTCTTCGCTGTCCACATAAACCCTTTTCTTAGTCCCATTGCATATTTACATTTACTTTAAGAATTTACATGCATGCAAAGAAAACTAGATGGCAAAAAACAGGAGAAAGAAAAAAAACACAGAAAAAAGAATAACCTAAGAACTGTGAATTTCAAAAAGAAATGTGACAATAGGGCTGGACAAAAAATACATATATATTGCAATAAAAACCTAATCATTATTAGAATAAAATACATCTGATAAAATGTTCATTAATTCTATTGAAATCCAGAACCTCATGGCATTTCGGGATATGTAGGCAGAGGGAACCTCTTACCTCTTACAGCCAAACTAAACTATGTTGGTGGGAGGGCTGATCTATTTTTGAAGGTTACATTTAAATAGGGTTACAATTTAAACTGTGGCTTTTCCACTTATCCTTATTAAAAATTATCGATATTGACCGACATGAAAGGCTTATACCAAAGTAGTTTTTTGGCCAAATTGGACAGCTCTATGTGAGATGTGAACTATTATACAGATAGATTTTAATAAGTTAGGATATGCATCTCATGAGATTTCTTTGTCATTTAAAAAGCATGTTTTAAAGATAACCCTTAGGTAAACATTAAATATCCTTTTAAGCCCACATTTCACTAATAATGTGTCTTTAGCTCTGTGATTGGATGCCCTCTGGAATCAGTGCAGGGGGTGGAAAACAAACGGATCCTAACTAAATTAACATCAATGTTGGATAATGTCTCCCACACCATGCATGGAGCTCCTTCAGTGACAGACTGCTGCACCCTAAATGCATCAGGGAGCGCTATGACAGATCCTTCCTCCCAGCAGCTGTAAAATTTTATAACCACCACTGTTTCGAACAACCTCAATAAGTTGTTACATTTATGCTGATTTTGCACAGTTTCTACCTTAGTCAGTTAAATCATATGCTGCAGTCATTTTGCACTTCTCTGATGTTTCTGCTTTTGTCAAATATCCATTGCTGTAAAAATGTCCATAGCTGTATATTGGTTATTTATTCTCCAGGTGCACTGTAAATATATTGTTAAAACACTTTACAGTAAAGTATTTTGTTTATATTTTAACTCTTCGCTAATATGTTGTTCTTATACATTTTTTTTAAGATCCACATTTGTGATAATTTTTTGCTATTTTTTTTATTGTCCCATTGTGGGACAAGAAACTGACTTTATATTCTATTGATGTGATGTAATATTCTAGTTTCAAATATCATTAAGGGAGGAATCATCAAAATTAACAGAATAGATTATGCTTTAAAACACCAGCTTTACATAACTACATCAGTTAGTGAATTAAGTTAATAATTATTGGTGCTAACTCATCCTAACTTGCAAATTTCTCCGATGTATTTGTACTGCAGTCTCTTTCGCTCTACAATATGAATATGTACAGAATTACTTTTAGTTCACAAAACCCATGGATTATTTTACATATATACCACTCAAAAATACTGTATATAGTAGGGTTGTCACGATACTGCAACTTTTCAACTCGATACCGATACTAAGTAAAATAGTCGATACTCGATACCATTTTCGATACCGCAAGGATAAAATTTTAACAGAAATATTTTGATTAATCATTAAAATACA